TGTGTAGGTTAGGCTTTTCTAGCAGTGGTTGATGTTTTTGGGGCTTTTTTTGTGAGTTGTAGGCAATAGAGCTGAAGAGATTTTTATTCAATATGAAAGCCCTAGGTACTACCTCTGGCTATAATCTGTTTATAAAACTGGAGTTATTAGCCACATGCAGAAGTAAATATTTCTGAAAATGTTGAAAATTTCCACTGACAAAATAATAAACTGCATGACACTGTAGGGTGCCAGAAAAAGTTCATAGGTGAACATGTGCAGAATGGTCTCAGAATCCTTCCAGGGAGTTGCTTCCACCTCCTGGAGCTCAGAAGGAAAATGCTGCAGCTGGAGCTGACACTGTGAGGTCTAGAGACAGGGTGGCTGTGCACACTCTGGTTGCAGTTCTTAACTAATTCAGCCAGTGTGGGTAAAACAAAAGGAGCAATTTGTCATCCACCCTCAGAGGGGTACTGTTGGCTCAAGCAGTGTCTCAAAAACACAGTTCTACAAAGGTGAAGGGAGGAGAAAGCCCAGAACTGATCCATCTTACCAGTTACATTGCTACTGTTCTGGGGCCAGGTAACATTATTGTAGAAAATAAAGGTTTCTCATAGCTGAAAATGGTCAGACAATTCAGGGATGAAAAAGCAGCACAGCGTGTCCATAACTGAAATCTATCAGTGTAATGTACATAAGATGTGGTTGGTAAATTGAATATCTCAATGTGCCTTTGGAATTTTCCCAAATACTGTCACTGGCACATATTAAAACAAATGCAACCATGTGCAATCTGAGGTGGATGTAGATTGTCCAGTGCACAGAAATTTGTCAACCAAATACTTTTATTCAGTCCTGAGACTGAGTCCAGTTACTCCTCCACTGCTCTTGCTCTGAATGTGGATTGCTTCCTTTAATAAGAGGATTAAAATACTGTAGTAACATCTTTAGGTAACAGGAAAACAGGAGAGACTTTAGTATGGCTTCAGATTTCTCTATAGTTGCCTTTAATGAAGACGTGGGAAGAGAATGCTTTGAAGTCTGAAACATAATTAATTTCTTTAAGAAAGTTGAAATAATTCACAAAATATGTGTTATATTAGTGTGTTTTGTGATGGAATTGGGGCTTTTTTTTGTTTAATGATCTAATAATGACCCAAATCTGAGGAATTAATGAGTAGGCATTACACTTTTTTGTGTTTTTCAGTGACAAAGAAAAGCACGTGGTGAGAATATCACAGAAGTAATAGTGTCACAAATAGTTTTCAGGAGATACAGAGGGTGAAGTTGTGTGCTTAGATTTGACTGAACTTGGCACCACTTTTACTTGACTAAGAGGACCAGTGACTGTTTACCATGGCCAAAGTTAATTGTGATTCCCTCTGCCAAAACTGCAATCTTTCTAGTCTAGAATTCTATGTTTTTTCTGTGACGTTTGAAAAGCACAGGGGTTGTCGGTAGAGATTCTGCAAGTCCCTGTGTCACCTGTCCCCTTGCAGGCAACAGGCTAAAACTTGCTTCACTGGCCCCTGGGGACACATCTTGCCACAGGAGTGACAGATGCAAGACTTTCTAATTGCTCCCCCAAAACATCACTTGTGCTGTTTAATCCATTGCACCTTATTTGTTAGAGGCAAATTAAATTTGGGTAAAGATTACAACCTTTCCTAACTTCTGTAGAAACATCAGTGTCCCAGTGCATTGCAGTGTGTGCAAAGCCAAGTGGACATGGCTAAAGAGGAGCAGCACCTGTTACACAGGGACTTGCTTGTTCAGGTAAATATGTGTAGGAAGAAGAAAAACTTCTAATAAAATGGGACAGTTTGGGTCAGCTGAAAACTTCTTTTCCTCCTCTTTGACAAGGGTAAAAGGGACCAGTGAGGATCAGTGCTTTTTGCAGTCTGTCCACAACTTGCATTCCCAGTACATAGATAACTCCTGCTGTGGGAATCAAAATTGAAGTTATAAAATACTTTTTAACAAGTATGAAACTGAAATAAGCAAATGCCTCTACAAGAAAGTGCAGTTATATTTATTCCAAAGATGTATAGGTAGTTTAAAACAATCCGTGTTTGACATGGTAATTTGTGTTTATCATTAAAATGCTAATGAAATGATAAACATCTGGTAAATTCATTAAGATAATGAACTTGTCAGTGGCATATTTTTTGTGCCAGTATTCCTGCTTAGTTCAGGTATGGATAAGATTTAGTGGAGTAATGGTGTTTGACCATTGGGAGCAATGCCAGGCTAAAACTGCCGCATTGCATTTGATTTGATGATTTTGTCATGAAGTGCTTCTACTTGTAATTTAGGTCACCTTGACCTGATAATTCCTTCAGAGGCTTTCAGAGGTAGGTCTGAAAGCCAGACTTCAGTCCAACAGGGTTATCGAACACATTTTTTATGATTAATGCCTTCACTAATCAGTCCAGTAGGTGTATATGTTTTCTTTTCTGTGTGGACTCCAAATGTATTCTAGTCTCCTGGTCATAAATTACTCTGGCAGCAGAAACACCATGAACTGCAAAACTAGAAAGAGATTTCAGATGTCTTTTTCACATGAAAGAGTCTGTGCTCAACCAAGGAGTACAAAGAAGGTTGCATTTTTTTCAGTAGGATGCTTTAAAGATTTTATGCCAAATACTTTCTATACATTGAATAAGGACAGAAGTATCAGAAAAGTAACTTTAATTTCAAATGTCAGTCACGATTTAGGTCTATTATGGTTTGGTTGTTTTTTCTGTAAAACCGAGTTAAAATATGTAAGCATAGCTTCATTGAAGTACATTTATATAAAGAGAGGACAGGTCTTCTTTAACTTCACAGATCTTTAATTGCTTATGAACTTCAAAGAGAAACTTACAGAAGTTAGATTGATGATGGCCCTTTAGGTAATTGAATACAACATAGTTCCTGTCTGAATGCATGAGTAAATCCAAATTATGTAAATCTACTGTTTCAGAACCAGCTAGTAAAAATAATCATCATTTTTGCAGTTGAAGATACTTTCTTTGGACAAATTCTGACACACTGCTTTCCTATTGATTCATCTTTTTCATAATGGATATTAATAAGAAACTATAGGAATGTTAGCCTTTAGCTTTTTGACATTTGTGACTCCAATTGAATAAGCTTTGACATACAGTTAATTAGGCACAACTGTCAATTAGTCTCATGGGCTTATGCAGGAACAAATCTGACATTTATGAAAGTATTGGGATAGAAGAAGGGAGAAAATATTCTGGGAAAGTTTCTCGACTATATTTTTCCTTTCAAGTTGTGCAGCTCTGTTGGGGTGGTATAAAACATTCTCTCTGCATAGATATCATTAACCCATCTTTGTGCAATCATCATGCTTTTCCTATAGAAGAAACAGAGAATAGATTACAGCCTGCTATTCATCTGCTACACCATAATATAATGTTTACTGTGCTGCAGCTGAGATCAAAATGACTGTCTCTCCAGCATCAACAAAATTTGAGCTCAGGGCTAGTTACAAGTGTTTGGTCATCCAAAAAATCCATGCAGCCCCATCTGGCTGCTGGACTTAGCTTTCCTCTTGGATACCATAAGATGGGCTTGAAATTGTGCCTGTGGAGGCAGGACAGTGAGAAGGAGGAAAATCTCTCCTTTGCCTTCAGTTTTGTGTGTCCTTATCAGGCAGAAAGGGAGATCCTTTAGTGGAAGACTGGTGCTCATGCAGCCCATAGGGATTGCCTGGCATTTTGCAAGTGAATACAAATGATTTGATGCTATGGGAGAAGAGAAGAAAAATTGCTTGTTTACTTTTCTAACCCCTTCCTTCTCGCTCCCTCTCAGTAGCCCTCCCCTTCCCTCCTACCCATCTCCTTCCTGGCTGGGTTAGAAAAGCTCAGATATCTTCTTTGAGAAGAAGCTCAGGTATTGTGTAAGCTGTGCTGGAGACAAGGGAAGCTCCTGAGAGGCCTGTTATGCTCCCAGCTGCTGGCCACTGATGAGTGGGAGAAGGAGGTAATTATGGAGAAATTGTGACAGTGGTAGGAGAGACAGAGAGTGACTCACCCTCCTTTAGAGGTGTGGGACACTTATGTTCTACTGCCTGCTCCTGTCAGTGTTGAATTATTTATTCAACCCAGGAAGGAGACATGAGGGATTTTTTGGTTGATTTTTTTTTTTTTTCACTTTGTATTTCAATGAGGGAAATTTTATTTGAAATCTATTTTGTATGGTTTCAGGGAAAAAATACTCCCACTGGCATAGCTGGGAGCTGTGTGCTAGGCACACTTATTGTGTGAATAGGGCAGACATCTAGTTAAAAACGAATATTTGGATGTCTGTGCCTGCCCATTCCTTTGGGATCTTGCTGGGCAATGATTCTTAAGTGTATGCAGCAAAAATTTTGGCATATAAATTTGTAGAAAACTTTTGTTTGGAGAGGTCCAATTTAGAAAATAGTTAGCATTGCATGTAAAGATTTATGTTCATCTATATGCTAGCTGATTATTTAATTGTTGGCTGTTTTCTAATATTTTCCTGGCACCATAAAATATGCAATTTTTTGCATGCTAGATGAAATACTATTTGTGTAGCACCTGATGGTTAGTCAGAAAAGGGAAAAAAATAACATGCAGATCACTATTTGGAAACAAACCTCTGGATTTCACCATACATACATGTATTGTCTGTGCTGGCTGATCTAGTAGGCAACCATGAATTGCAAAAGCATTTGGCTTTCATGGGCACCCATCCTGGCCTTTTTGGCACAAGAAGAATTTTGCAGCTGTAGAAAGGATTTATTCTTCCTTCCAGTGTGATTTATATACCATATGTCTTCTCTTCAGCATCTGAGTATCCATGGCCATAGGGAAGTGTTCTGCCTCGTCTGTACTGTGTGTAAATAGGTTCCTTTTAATATTAACTCCTAAAGAGCCTTTTCATCAACCTCTGTACAATTTTTTCTTGGCAGTTGTGTCAGCTATACTGTGTGTGTTGCAGAAAGGAGAACACCATGAATTCCTGGTTTTGTTTGCTCTTGGCAGGCACTACTACACTTCCCACCCTTGTGCGCACACCTACCTTGATGATGCAGCCTTCCCTGGATATCAAACCCTTTATGTCCTTCCCTGTGGACAGCAGCTCTGCTGTTGGATTCTTCCCAAATTTTAACACAGTAAGTAAAGGTGTTTCCACATTTAGTTTCAGTGTATGCTTTCCAATCTGGTTCTAATATCCAGTACTGCAGCTGCCTTAAAATAGTGCATTGCTTACACAGTTCTAGGGAGCTCTTTGTTTCTGTGCCATGGTGGTTGCTTTTCCCCTGTATGAAAAAGCTTGAAGTGGTGTCCAGCCTTCTCACTGTGAATGGAGCTGATTGATTTTAACTTGGTCTCTTGAGGTGGTGTTTGCACGTTGACAAAAATAATCCTGTGCTATGCTTAAGATTTGAGAAACAGTAGAATGATTTGGAGCATTTGTCTGGATAAGTGTATTTCTATATGCCGTAAAAAAAGAAAGAATAAAAGCTAATGGAAAGACAGGTGTGACAGGTCAGACCTAGATTCTACACTGCTGTGAATCAAGCTAAGTATAATACAGCCAGGAAAGCAACTGAAGGGTGTTGTTAATTCTGCATAATTTCAACATTAAAGTGTAAAACTGCACAGCCAGCCAATGTGAAAAATGTGAACCTGTTATTTTTGCTTTATGGTAAAGCATCTTGGGGGTTTTTTAAACAAAAAATAATATTGCCAAAATAATATTGCCAAAATAATATTTCTGTGTTTCTTCATGTTTATCAGAGCAGAAATTAAAAAAATACTCTCTTCCGTACTTCTCACTTCTTTATCAGCTCATAAAAAGGCAATGAGTGTTATCAAAACGCTTGTTTGCCATCACACTTTAGTTTAAATGTTTAAGCTAATGGCAGCAGGGAGGAAAATGTGGTGAGTCATTTCTGCCCAGGCAGTGGGCACAGTGTGTTTGTAGGTGACCGTCACCTGAAGTGCTGCGCTTGCCACTGCGGCTGCGGGGGGCAGGAAGGGGAGCAGTGTCATCACCACCACACAGTCACCAGCTGAACCACTGCCAAGTGCTTCCTTTCACAAGAATGTCTGAAATTAAAACAGCAACAGCATTCTTTCTCCTCCTGCCGAGCAGGTCCCCCTTGCTGAAGGCCTTGTGCTGCAGCACGCCGTGATGCGGGGGGCTTGGGAGGTGACACATGAGCCAGCTTCTCTCGTGGGTCAGCAGCACAGTGTGTGAACAGCAACAATTATTACTAATGCATTGCAAAACATGTATGTGAAAAATGTGCCTTTGTCGAGGAGATGTGGGGATGTGCATTTGCACAAAGGTATAAATCATTAGGAAAAAAACCCAGGTATGTTAAAAGAGCAGGCTCAAAACTCAATACCGTTAAGGAAGCAGTGTGTCATTACCATATATAGGCATGATTAAATTTACATTAATTTTCCATCCTCTTCCTAATACTCTCAGGAATTTTGTTTGTTACTGATTTGTTTGCTTTCCAGTTACCCAGGTTTTCTAGGTGAGCTTTTTCACAGAGCTGTTCATTATGACTCAGAGAAGCTTCTCTTTAGAGATGTAGTTTTAGTGCTAACCAACCATTATTTCCTTTCTGGTGGTATTACTGAATATCAGAGTCACAGAAGCCTCTAGAGACATATTAATTTGTACATTTACACTGATTTTGCCTAGTTTATATTTATCTGGGTTACCTTTCATTTGCCTAATTCCTGGCATGTTTATTCTTCACAACTGTCATTCCTCTCCAAACTTCTGTAGTTTTAATTAAAAATTAGACCTGGGATAATTGGCAAACATTGTCAACTTGGTGTCTACTTCCTCTCTTGGAATTCTTAATAATTATATAAAATTATGCTGCTATACACCACAGACGTTGCATGTTTAAACTATTTATTTTAAGAAACAGTGGTTCAGTACTTCTCTATTTCTAATTTGCAGACTTTGCCATTTATCTTGCAGGTATTGATTTTCCTTAAGAGTCTTTCACAATGGACTTCAAAGCTCACTAGAAAACTAAATCATTCATGATCTTCTACTCACAGGCACCATGAATGCCAGCTGTCATGCACTTCCTTTATTTCTAGCTTAGCACAACCTTTGCAAATGTACATTTCTTGGTTTTGGTATATGTAGTATGCTTTTATTCTTTTTCATTCCAAAGTGTTGACAATAGTATGTAAAAGTGCTTAAAACAATTTTCCAGAAGATGATTTTGAGTTATAGAAGCTAAATCCAGTTGATCCATAACATATGCATCATCCAAAGAGCCACAATCTTTTATCTTATGGGGGAAGCGAATATTAGAAGATCCAAAAAAGTCCTCATTTGCTTTATGGATCAGTCAGGAAATCTATGCACTTGTCAAGGACTGCAGACAGGGAATCTTCCAGTGTGCTTCCCTTCACCTCTCTGCCTTCCAAGGGACTGAGAGGACCCTTCTGAGATATTGGTTGTTCTTGCATGTGTTCACTGAAGGTGGCAGAAAGAAATGGTCTGAGACAAAACTTCTTTGGATCCACCTGCATTTTCAATGGCTGTCAGAAATAGAAACATTATTCTAAACCTTGCCAGGAGATGATTTCTAACTTAACATCGATGGCTTTCAAAAAGAAAAGTTTCTGCATGAGAGCTTAATACAGTAACTACCAAGGCAGAAAAACAAGGTAAAATGTATTAACTACAAACATCTTCAAAGTAACACCCCCTACATTTTTTTCCCAAAAGAACTTATTTATGGAAATATATTTAAAATCTGGGGTAAACCCTTTCTTATTTAGTTAACTTTGACAGTTTTCAGTTCTGAAAACATCTGTGATTCTCCAGATAAAACATTAGTGCTCTCATTTTGTTTGTGGAAGTGTTTTGATCCCTAGCTTCTTTCCACAAGGAGTACTTTCAGCTGAAGCACTGAGCAGACCATGATTTTGTAAAAGAAATGCTTATCCCAGTCATAATTTAACTTTCTCGATGAAATTGTGTGATTTAGTTTAAGCTGTCTCCCTTTTGCTTCTTTTTAAATCATTAATAGTTCTAAATATGCTGTGGATGTATGTACAGTAGTTGCCAATTCATGCCCCAATTAAATTTGTCTTTCTTCATTAGGACTTATTATGTAGGAAAAATTATTTGGGGAATGATTTTACTAACTCACTGGATACATATCTTTACTCCTCAGTAAGGGGAATAAAACTTTTCTATTTCAACAGCTTGGCCAGAAGGGGATCTTGTAAGGGCAAGATGAAGGATAACAAGCAAAGAGGTATTGCAGGATAGGTGCTGTCTTCCCTGGTCTTTTCATATCAGCAGCAAGTGGTTTTGTCAGAACAGTAGAGGCATGATAGGACTGTCAGAGTCTCAACTTGAGATGATACATGGAAGGACAAGCCCTCTGAAACGGAAATGAAATCTTGCAGTAGTGGATCCAAAGGTGACATCACCTTTGTCCAGGCATCAAGTTCCAAGTGGTCTTGCTCAATACCCCTCTGTCTGAAATGAAGAGCTTGAAACAAGTTATCAGCTATTATTACTTAAAATGCTCTTGTTTATAAAAAGTTAGGAAAAGTCATTAAAGGAACTTCCCAAACTTCCAGTTCCACCTGCTAAAGTGGCCGAAAGCCAGGATTTATCTTGTAAGATCGAGATCACTGATCACTTCATGATCATTTTCTCTTTATCATCATTATCTGTCTTTGTCTCCCTATATAAAAGTTGTGTACTCCCCAAAAAAAGAAATCTCAAAACTCCAGCATATTCTGCCATGTCCTGAAATGAAAGCAGCACTACATGATTCACATTTAGTTGAAGTGGTACAGCCAGGGACCTGTCAGTCTGCACAAAAACATTATCAGCAGCTTCTCAGATTCTATCATCATAGAAAATAATCAGCAATTCATATGCTTCTTTCTGAGTTTGTTATGGCCTCGGGGGTAATCAAAGATTAGAGCATCTCTTGTAGCTTTCACATTAGTGAAACATTTTGCATCTAACTAGCCCATGATTGGTTTCTAAATGCTAGTTCATACCCTTCACGTTTTAGAGGACACATGGGTTAATGTGGCCTAGTTATTGCTTCAGTGTCTTATTTCTCTTCAAGTAGCTTTATGCTGATTCTTTATATTAGAGTTCTCTCAGTCCCCCTTGCAAAGTGGACCAGAGATATTTTACATCTGCCAGTGAAGGTGAGCCAGCTGGAATGTGCTACAGGAAGGGAAGAGGAGCTGACTAGTAACTTAGTCAGAAATTTGACTCTTCTCCAACATTAGCCCTGCCTGGACCAAGTATCCCTGGCCTACCCCCAAGACAACTACTGGGAGGAACTAATTTTCTCTTTCCTCTTCTGCATTTTCAATTATTACTCACATTTTCATTTGCTGCCTGTCTCTTTCTCATTTGAAGGGCCCAGTAATCACCAAGGCAGGAGCTGAGTTCAGCAGATAAGAGCACAGGGCACCCATATCACCAGCTTCACTCGCCCCTCTGCGCCAAGTGCCTCTTCTGCCTTTTTGGCAGGACACTGTGGCTTGGGAGCTTTCTCTTTCCTTAGCAGGGTCTGAATTCAGCCACTTAACACCCTGCTGCAGTGCCAAAGAGTGCTTTGCAGCACAGGATTGTATATGGCAGGGACAGATTACAAACTCAGCCAGCTGGATGTTGCCAGCCTGTTATCTACCATCCTTTTTATCCAAGTACCCTGTCCCTGTGCTCTGATTTCCCCTTTTCCCTTTTATGCAGCGCTGGAGGGAAGTGACCTTTTCTGGTCCTCTCCATCTACTCCAGAGAGGAGGTGAAAATTTTTAAGAGCCATTCTTTACATTCATTAACCTCACAGAAAGGAAATTTAAGCAATTTACTTAAGAGTGGTGTTTTTCAGGGTAGCTGGGTATTGTTCTTGAGGATTTTTGTTGGTTGAGGTTTCTTTAATTAAGAAATGGTAATGTTTTTCTTACAAACCCCTTACACCCTTTATAGTCATGCAGGCACACAAGGACTCCAGGTTTGCCTTCTGTTCCTCTTTTGAAAATTTAAAAGTATTCCCATTTCGGTTTTAGTTGTTGCAGATATAAAAGTTCATGTTTTTCAAATCATAGCCAGAATCATCCAATTCACAATATGAGGAGTCATCCT